AACGCCATTGCAAATTCCGTTAAAAAGGTGACAGCAAGAAAAACGATGTTTTTGCGGGGGTCACACGAATCCACATTTAAGTGGAGCACTGTGTTCTGGTTTAGTAATATTCTTACCAAATTAAGAGACTTATGGAGCAGAAGTGTACTTGGAATCGGTTGTGAGGCACATGCAATATTCTACCAACAAGAACAGACACTGTCATTGTCAAGGGTGATAATTTTCTGTATGAAGAGCATGTGAACACTAATATTTTTGTGATAATGTTCATGTTGTTAAGCAAAGCCAACTCCCACGTGACAACAGGCTCTTTTCTCTCTTTGCTTCCTATCGTCAGTCCCACTCTAGAAATGCCCGAGCTCTGAAGAACTACTGTGTAAATCAAACTAAGGTTCTACAATGGATTAAATATTTCTTAAAATTTTCTAAGTTTTGGGGTTATTTTGTTCAAAATCTGCTGTAAGTTTTGATCAAATTATTCAACAAATGGAGGCAAATAAAACCTTCAGCTTTTTAAGCTTTGCAACTTGCAATCATTGGGAAAAAAGCTTAACAACAGGAGTTTATCAAAATTCATCCTTACAAAAACAAGGCAGACAGTCAACATATTGAATAAGGAGAGTTCCAGTGGAGAACAGGATTTCATTTTGAAATTCTATAATTTTGTCCGAAAATATCTCAACTTGTACAAAAAATTTTTTGATGAAGCACCTATTTTTAATTAGATAAACTTATATTTTGCACCACAATGGGATAAAATTCAGAAGCTCCATGATTTTGCAGCATATAAATTTAACAAAACATTAAAAGAATCATCAATAGAAACAACTTCTCTGATGAGTTTTGTTACATAAAAATATTTGTCAATGAAAGATACCTTGAATGAAAGCAACGAAGACAATAACTACAAAAATGTTTGCAATTTCAATATTTTAAAAGTAATATTGAGAATTTTCTACACTTAGAAAAATTTTCTCTGAGCTTACCAGGTCCCTCAGCACCTCTAGAGAGAGTATTCTCTCAAATAAAAATATTGTAGTATATAGAGAAGAGTCCATTGGAGGTGAAAAAGCAAGAAACAGAGAGAGAGAGAGGAGGGAGGGAGGGAGGGAGGGAGGGAGGGAGGGAGGAAGGAAGGAAGGAAGGAAGGAAGGAAGGAAGGAAGGAAAGGGAAAGAAGGAAAGGAGGGAGGGAGGGAAGATGAAGAAGGGAGGGAAGGAAAAAGAAGCTCTCCCTTGGCCCCACATCTCCCTCCAGCCCCTACCCCATTTTCCTACTACTCTTAACAGGATAACTACTCCCAAAAGTGTGATTTATTCTTATTTATTCTTCTGCTACATACTGTCTCTCCTTGCTCTGGGACTCCAATTTCATGTATCTTAAACCTTTTCACTGTGTCACACCTATCTCTCAGCATCGGTTATATACTTCCGATGCTTTTTTTCTCTGTGCTTCACTTTGGATATTTTCTGTTATCAGTTTACCAGGTTACTGATCCTGTTTTCTGCCATTTTTGATATGTTGTTACCTCCATTTATAGTTATTTTCAGATATCATGTCTGTTCTAAAATTTCCTTTTGATCCTTTTTTTTTTTTTTTTAAGATTTTATTTTTTCCTTTTTCTCCCCAAAGCGCCCCCGGTACATAGTTGCGTATTCTTCGTTGTGGGTCCTTCTAGTTGTGGCATGTGGGATGCTGCTTCAGCGTGGTCCGATGAGCAGCGCCATGTCCGTGCCCAGGATTCGAACCAACGAAACACTGGGCCGCCTGCAGCGGAGCGCGCAGACTTAACCACTCCGCCACGGGGCCAGCCCCCCTTTTGATCCTTTTTTGTAGATTCCATCACTTCAGGGAAAGTATCTTTTCCTGCTATCCTTGTGAACATATTGATTATGGTTATTTTATAAAGTTACTTTCTGCAAACAGCTGCACACCTGTGAGCCCACTGTATCACGGTGTTTTTCTTGTCCGTTTATTCTCCCGATTTTCAGTGATGCGATCCTGTGTCATATCACACCTGCCCATCTTTTATTGAATTCGGGGCATTGTGTATTTAAGGCAACGTTATTCCTCACGGAGGACTCTCCCTTTCCTGCTAGACTAGAGTGGGGCTCATATTTAATCCATTCAGAGACCGAACTAAATTGAGACTGGACTGCAGGGCTCCTAAAACTCATCCGCCTTCTCTCTCCTACTAGCACGTAAATCCTGTGAGCACAGGGCCCTTGTCGGTCTTGCTCATCATTTTTCTCTTTAAAAAATATACGAAAATACTGTATGGGGCACCACAGAGGATCACACCAATTAGAACTTTGATACTCATTACATTTTCAAAAGTGAAATACAGTAAAAGCGAACTGGTCAATATTCTGCACATAAAATTATGAGATCAAGAAGTCCATATATGACTTTCACCACCCTTGTCTAATCATTTAGTCATCAAATGAATTCTTGAAAATGCAATTACATTTCATGTATATAGCCTCCTACTGGGGTCTAAAATATAGGAATAATTCATCAAATCATTATGAGAAAAGGTTTAATTTTTACCAACGTAGCTTTACACTTGATTCTATTTCTATTCACTTAGATAAGCCCAATCGAATGTACTTAGCAAATTCACCAAGCAACTTAAAGAAGAGGCCACAGATTGCAGTCCTAACCACACTGGGAAATAGGCGATTTGCAACCTCATTGTCTGGAGGAAATCTTTCCGATGTTCACAGGGTGGGGTCTCAGTGCCGTGATAAGATTCTCCATATTTTAAACTGCCCTTCCACTAAAAAGAAAAGACCAGTGAAAGAGAAAATGGCTCAAAGAAAAAAGTGTGCAAAATACTCCTAATGCACGCTGAAGCATCGCTGGCCAACGCCAAGGTCCAGTGCGGAGTCACAGTGAGCTCAGTGAGCCCAGCAGTCCGTCCAGTCCACTGAGATTCACGCGGTAGGGTGAGACGTTCGTTAAACGGAAGAAAACAGCAACCAAGAAGCATTGGTGGGGCGGGGAAACACCCATGTTAATGTTTCTGAGAGCACTTCTGCAATGCAAAAGAAAGTTAATCCTCTGCAAGTTTTTGTTAGTTGGTATATCTTAGGCGGACTAGAAAAAGAATACACACAACAGAGTTCAAATCTGCTCCACTTTCTGGCTTTAAGAAAAACCAAACAAAAATAAACGAATAAAAACTTTCCTCTTTTAACAATCTCTTACCCATACACACAGAAACACACAATATTATCCGACTAATAGAGATACAAAAAGGTTTCAACACATTTTAAAGGTGTAAAACATCTCCGAAAGCCTTCGTATGTTTTCAAGGGCTGGAGCCCATAAGCCACCTGGGTGAGCTTAAGGAAGAAAGAGCTAGGGCCTTACTGATGGAGGTTTTGACAATTAACACAGCACCTTGAGCAATTCCAACCAGGAAAATAACTTTACTGGGGCAAAGAAAGTTCACACTCAATCTTTTACAGAAAATTAGTTTTACTTACAAAGTATGAACATGGGATTATAAACCATTATAATTTTTTGAAGATTTTGGAAATGGGCCCATACAACACATAAAATCTGGCTATTTTCAAAAGGCAGAGTTTCAGAACAATCTAGAAAGTTGATATTTGGAGTTAAATAAAAATACATTTTAAAGCAGACCAAACTCTAAAGCATTTTTAAGTTTCAAGAAAAATAGAAGTTGAAACTATTGAGCCTGTTGCCAATGGTTCTAACTATTTTAGCAATAATTCTAACAGTAAATACATTTGAGTTCTTAACACAACAATGTCTAGTACCTTAGAGATGACGACATTTAAGTCTCTATTACAAAAATTTAACCTTATTGATAGCACATGATTTTTTTTTACCAAAATGTAAAGTTAAGTAGCCTACAGGTGCTTTAAATATGACCAGAATGGGGGCTGGCCCCGTGGCCGAGTGGTTAAGTTCGCGCACTCCGCTGCAGGCGGCCCAGTGTTTCGTTAGTTCGAATCCTGGGCGCGGACATGGCACTGCTCATTAAACCACGCTGAGGCAGCGTCCCACGTGTCACAACTAGAAGAACCCACAACGAAGAACAACGAAGAATATACAACTATGTACCAGGGGGGCTTTGGGGAGAAAAAGGAAAAAATAAAATCTTTAAAAAAAAATAAAATAAAATAAAATAAATAAATATGACCAGAATGCAAACAAAATAGAGAAAAAAGCTATATGTGTACTAGCAAAAAAACCCCCAAATTCTTCAAGTGTCCATAGAGAAAGAGAGTGATCTGAAGGCATACATTGTTTGCTGAAATTAAAATCTTTGCCAAAGAGGGCTGGCCCTGTGTCCGAGTGGTTAAGTTCGCTCGCTCCACTGCAGGCGGCCCAGTGTTTCGTTGGTTCGGATCCTGGGCGCAGACATGGCACTGCTCATCAAACCACGCTGAGGCAGCGTCCCACATGCCACAACTAGAAGGACCCACAACGAAGAATATACAACTATATACCAGGGGGCTTTGGGGAGAAAAAGGAAAAAAAGAAAATCTTTAAAAAGAAAATCTTTGCCAAAGAAAACTGTGAAATCTTTGCACTTAGCCATGGGTATTACTTTTGTCTTCACAAAAATAAGTAAACAAATTAGTAAAATCCTTTTCCCAGCTCACCTGTGATTTTTTTCTTTTCATTTTGAATTAATCATTCAGAAGGTAAAATATTTTGATCCTTTGAACTTCACGTAGCAGAGGTTCTAAACACCTCTTTGTGAGAACTTCCAAGCTGTATAAAAATGAAACAATACCTTCCAATACACATTTCAAGAAAAAGGAAATAATGAGGGGGACATGGGCACAGGTTATCCCAAATCCCTCTGGTTTTCTGAACAATCTTTGTGAGCCTTAATTATAAAGAACCACATTTCATTCTTTTAAATGTTTACTAAAAAGAAGTATCACCAAGAAAAGAAATCAGAACAATATGGAATCCACTGGAAAACCCTCCTCCTTAGTTTTTGAGAAGACACTACTGCTTGGGGCTTCAGTTTCACCCCAGACGCAATTTTCTTGCTGTTAAAATGTCCGTGTATGAGAGGGAAGCACCAAATTGACTTCGAGTAGATATAGAGGTGATTGCTTTATTCTACCGGTTTCCACTCCCAGGTCATCTGAAAGACAGAAAAGCAGGTTAAAAGCAAACTTCCCAAAGCTATGATCTGGCCGTATTTCACTGCCAGATGTCACAAGAGCTGGTATTCCCATAAAGTCTGGCCTCTGGCTGCTTTCCTGGGCTGCAGCCCGGGGCATGCTGAGAATCTAGGACCCACGGTATTGCACGAAGGCCATGACAGCACTTCCAGACAGTCAGCTGCTGCCAGGCAGGTACCGATGCAGAAAACCACCTTGAAAATTGATTTTGAAATTCGCTTTTGTTTAGTGTTAGTGGTCATCTCACTTCAGTTGATCTACCAAGGTCCCTTCTGCCCCTTCTTCCATCAAGCCCCCCAACCCCCGCCCCTATCTTTACATGTGCTAACATGCTATGGCATTGTTTCAATCAGAATTTTCTTGTTTGATAATAATGCTGAATAACTCTCTTAAGAAGTTATGTAATCCATCCCCCCAGCACCCAGACCACTCTAAAACTAGGCCACAAACGTGGACATCATCTAGAGGCAGTATTTTAAAATGAAGCAGTATTTATGGACCATTATAATAAAATGAATCTATCCTACACCAGTATAGTACCATGAACTTCAGAGAGTTTAATTTCATTTGATTCATATGATAATTCTATACTAAGGCAGGTTGAGCACTACAGTATTGGGAACAATTTTTTTTGGAAAAAAAAAAAGGGAAGAAACAAAAGAAAAAAGCATGAGTTCAAGTTCTTTTCCTGTTCCCTATAAGCTACAGGTCATGTCTTACTTCAGGCCAGCCACCTGACCCCTATGGTGACCTCATGGTACGCTGTCTGCTGTAAACTCCATCATCTTTAGATTTGCTCCCAGCTCCCAAATTTTCATTCTCATTTTACAGAGGACAACTAATGTTCAATAAGGACAAATAGATGCTCAAGACCACATGGGCAACAGACGGTGGTGTCTGGACCAGAACCGTGGTTCTTACCCCTAATCCATCCTCTTCCCACAATAACGTGCAGGAGACCAGAACAGGAGTCTCAGGCAAACAGAGTGGGAAACACAGTTCTAAAGTTCCTTTTCAAGCACCAAAATATGTACTCAGAATGGACCTAGATCAAAATAGATGGGCTCTCCATCAGAAACTTATTTTTAATGAAAAAAAAGCTAAAGATGAAAAGGAGATGCTTTCTATTTGATTACAATTTCCTTCTTAAAGTGTAACAAATGCTATGGTCAAGTCTAACAATAAATCGAGAAACCACAAATATGGTGAAATAGTCTGCTTTCCTTTCCCCTTCCACACACCAACACTGGAGAGCTAATTAACAGACGGGGAAGAACTGGTTTGATCTTTAACTAGAACTTGACGATCCTAAAATCCTTACTTGCATTTTTGTTCTGGCAGTCAAGAAGCTCAGGTAACCATAAGCGTCAAATAAAGTAATAATCTCAGCAGAGGCTCTGGGTAGAATAATCTACTCGTGTTCTCTCATTTAATAACAAAAAAGATAACAACCAAAATGAAATAGTATAACTAACATCTTTTTAGTGCCTTCCATGTGTCCAGCACTGTACTAAGTGCTTTCTGATAAGCATCATCTTTTAAAACTATTCCAACAACCTATGAGGTAGGTATCATTATTATTAGCCCCAATTTAAAGATGAGGAAACTGAGGCACAGATGTAGTTCACACACTTAGTGAGTGGAGAAGCCAAACTTGTGTAGTCTGACTTGAGAGCCCATCTTCTTAATCACCAAAAATGTACCATTCTAGGGAGTTCTGCTGTCTATTTCTGACATAGAAGGCATAAATATACACATATGTACATATATATGCATATATAATGTATATGCATTTGTGTGTATACATAATATGTATAATTATTTTAAGATGCCTTCATTCAATTTTAAATCAGAAGAATAAATTACAGGTAACTATGTAAAGGTGTGTCAATTTCAGAAGGGCTGACTCACTCTGGGGGGACATGGGTTGATGTTCTGAGCAGCAGCAAAGGTCTGATGCAGTCAGTCTCACTGACCACTTCCCTCCCCCGCCAGCTGTGCATTCAGAAACAGAGGAAGGAATCCTCGATGAATTTAGTCTTAACCATTTTTTTCAATTTTATGTCTGGCCATCAAAATATGAAATTCACAATTTTAATATCCTGCTAGCATACCTCTTCAGCATAATGTGAAAATAAAAGTCTAATTTTATTTTCATTTGCCTTATGATCCTTTCTGGCTTCTGAACGTTGTTCTTCACAACATGGCGGATATTCAGTTTTCATGGTATTTGTCCTTCTCTTTGTTCTCCCTTAGTCATCTGTTCTTGGGACGGTTGCCCCAAGGATGACTGTTCCAATGATTCTTGTCTCTCGGGTATCTGTTCTTGGGATGGTTGTCCCAAGGATGTCTGTTCCAATGACTCTTGTCTCTCGGGTATCTGTTCTTGGGACGGTTGCCCCAAGGATGACTGTTCCAATGATTCTTGTCTCTCGGGTATCTGTTCTTGGGACGGTTGCCCCAAGGATGACTGTTCCAATGATTCTTGTCTCTCGGGTATCTGTTCTTGGGATGGTTGCCCCAAGGATGACTGTTCCAATGATTCTTGTCTCTCGGGTATCTGTTCTTGGGATGGTTGCCCCAAGGATGACCGTTTAGGGGGTTCTTGTTTGTCAGGCATCTGTTCTTGGGATGGTTGCCCCAAGGATGACTGTTCCAATGATTCTTGTTTCTCGGGTATCTGTTCGTCAGACGGTTGTCTCGAGGACGACGGCTGGAGCAATTCTTGTGCCTCGGGTTTTTCTTCTGGTTGTCTTAGTGATGATTCTTCTTGAGACTGTTGTCTCATTGGTGGTTCTCTTTGGTCTTCTATCTTTACCGGGGTTTCTAGTAGTACAGGTCTATTTTTTTCCTCTACCATGTCATATTGTTCTTTTTCTTGTTTTCAGTAAACAAAATAAAACAAAATCACCAATAAACAAAGTAGCCATCTAAAACAGGTGAAATAAATCACAAAATGACAAACATTGCTATTATATCATTGATTTCATAGTGACAGTGCAAATATTAATAAAAATAATTTTTACATAGGGTATTACACTTACAATGTGCTTTTCCGTATATTATCACTTTTACTCTCATTTGGAAATACAATTTCAAACAAGCATAAAATAGGATGGGATAGTGTCAGAGAAGCCTAAGAGAAGCAAGAACAAAGGGTATGCTTCCAATAACACATAAAATCCATCAGTTGTTTGAAAACTGAAAAAAAACATAGGAAAGACTCTCTTCTTCTATGAGTCACTGAGGTAGGGAAGGGACTTTTAGTAAAATGAAGAAAAAGCAATCAGCACAGGAGACTCCAGAGCCTGTCTTCTCCAGAAGAGGGACCAACGCATGAAAGCAACGTGTAGAGTGCAAAGATTATCATGGACTTCCTAACCTTTCACAGCCACACCTCACTTGCCACTGCCAACACTATCTGCTCCCACAGCGATAAATGCCATTTGGACAGGAAATCCAAGGTTGTTCCTAGAAACTGAAAACAACACCAATTCAAATAACACGCGGAAAAACATCTTCAGTGAGACGCCTCACAGAATCTGAGAGAAGCCAGGTATCAACTGACATGTTTACTTATTGCCTTTCTCCTTTTTGCAGAAGCAACACCCAGTGCCCAATACAGAAACCTCAACTCCAGTTTCATCCTCATCCCTCATAGCTATTTGGTGGCCAAGTCTGGTCAATTCTATCCGGCCCCAGTGCCTTGGTCCAGGCTTCCACCATCTAATAGAATGTTGTGAGTGCACGTAAATGCTCTCTTACCTTTCCCTTCTCTGCGTGCTGTCAGAGTGGTTATTTTAAAACATAAATTTGATCATATCACTTCCCCACTTTAACATCATCTATAGGACAAAGGCTAAATCCCTTAGACACACACGGGCATAGCAGTGATGGCCAGCAGACCACCAAGACTGTGCTCCCCTTCCCTAGCACAGAGCTGCCAGAGATGTTCCCAGCCAACTTGCGTCCAGGCGGAGCCAAATGTCTAGTTCTAACCAAAGGGCCAAGAGACGTGATGTCACTGCCCTTCTGGGCTGAGGTGGTTAAAATCTGATATAACCTCCTGTCTCCTCTCCTCCTGTAGCAAACTCGAAGGCCAGGTGTGGAAGATGGCAGGATCACAAAATCAAGGATCCCTGAGTCACTGCTGGGAGGAGAAACACCCAGGACAGCCTCCAACCCACGGTAGGTTTTACCCAATCAAGGAAGAAACATTAATTGTGTAGAGCAACTGAGACCTGGGGCATGACATTGTTACTACAACTCAGCCTAGCCTACTCTCACTGATACAAAGGACCCTGAGAGTCAGACCTTATCTGTATTTCCTTCTTCCTTTCATGCTGTTCCCATTCGCTCTTTGTTCCAATTACACCAAACCAGTTGCACCTCCCCAAGGAACCATCAGTCATTCGTGAATTTGCACAGGCTGACCCCACTGCCCAGCATCCCCTTCTCAACACCGCCTACTTGGCAAATTCATACTGATCCTTCACAATTCATTTGAACAAGCCTCTCCCATAACACAATCTATCAATCCCCGCAAGCTCTCCCCGGGGCCCAGACCGTCAACCATCATCTCTTCAGGAATTTTCAGGGTATCCAATACAAACCTCTATCTGGTTATACATCTGTGCCCCAACCAATGTAAATGAGCATCTTGAGAATAGCGAAACTGAGCTTCACTCATACGGATTCTCCCAACATTCAGTACAGTACCTAGCACAGACTTGGCAACTCCAGACTGTTTTGTTCTGTTTTGAAGAATGATTAAACGACAGGTAAGTCCTCGCTCCTCCACCTGCTTTCAGAATAATCTTGGACAAGTCACCTTCTCTTTCTGGATTTCAGATATTTCTTTCTTGAAAAATAGTGGTAAAAGTATGGATCTTTAGAAGTGTAGGATTATGGTGCTCAGTGAATGAAAGCACATGGTGAACTGTAAAAGCTGATATATACATGATATGATATTCATTATTTTCACATAAAAGTTTAAAGAGCAAAAATGGGGGGGGAGATTATAGAAGAAAACTAACAACTGTCACGAGGGACTATATGATTATATGCCAATGTAAGGCAGAGGCAGGCAGAGCCGTAAAGGGCCGATGTCGCCCCTTGCAATCCCCCAGGAAGATGTGCCTGCGGCTCCTGCTCCCTCACCAGCGCAGTACCCCCTGCAGGCTCCCCACAGCTGCTGGGCTGATTCTCAAGGTCTGTTCCCCAGCGGACCCCAGCAACTCATGGGCGGGGATTGTGTCTCACTCATCCTCACTTCTCAAGCACCCACTCAAGCCTGGCACATGGAAGGGACTCAGAAAATGTTTGATAAATGAAAGAATAAGGTGATAAACACAAATGAACCAGCAGTCCCCTAGTCCCACAAGTAAAGCATTCCTAAAAACATAAAATTAGAATACACAAAATCAAAGATAGCATTAAGATATTAAGTTACGTTTATAGGAATAATATATTACCATAAAATGTAATATAAAATTACCTTAAACATTAATAAAAAATAAAATGCGTTCTGTATTCACACAAAATAAAATGCATTTCAAAAATCCCTGACTTCTCGTTGCCCTTTAAATGCAATCACCAAAGAGACATTTGGGGCATTGTGTACTTATTCTGTATTGTTTTCTTTGAGAATTGAACCCACAATCCAGCAGCCCTCCAAATGTGGCTAAAACTCTGTCACTTCAATGCACCTATTTGTCTGAAGTCTCCTGTCTGAAACCTGCACTTCTTACACAAGTTTCAGGAGCTTTATTTTTTGCTCTTCTCTACTTATTTTTTTTTTTTTACAAAATATTATAAGGGTATATGCAGTGAAATATTAAAATAATTGCACAATTGAGCAATGAAAAGTCTGCCTGAACTGAACTGTTGGTTGACAGACAGTGCCACCATATGGTGAGTCAAAACCTTCATTTGTCAACTTCTCTAAAAATTGTGCCATATAAAATACGGTTTGGGGGGTCGATGCATAGTTATGAAAGAGTAAGAATTTTGTTCAAAGTCAAATAATCCAAGTGGAAGGCTGCTTGCAAATGGGCAGGTAGTGGACACCCAGGGCGGGCAATGAATCCAGGGACCCTGCTGCAGACATAGTCGTGGGGTAACCACAAATGGGCCCTGGGCACAGAGCAGTCACCTGCATTTACCCTACAGGCCCTATAAGTGATCATTGATAACTCACTTTCTTACCAGGAAATGTAACCACTTTTTTATTCTTGCTGAGGTTCTTGAGAGACGCTAAAAAAAAAAGAAAGAAAAAAAATTAATATTAATAAACTGACCGAAGGGTTTACATACTATGGATTTTGATGTAAGATCTATGGCTAAAAGAACTACTGGAATACAATCCTGTTGACTAGTTTAAAGAGAATTTAGAGCCAATTTTGGTAAAAGTATAAGTGTACTTTATTATACAGAAAGTCACGCCAACACTATGAAAACTGTAGTTTCTGAGATTATAGAGCAATTGGCAGAATTTTGGTCTTCTTTTCTTCCACTAAGAAAAAAGCATATTTTAGTTAAGGTGGGTTTTTTGGTTCTTTTTAATTCCTTCCTCGTGCAGTTTCACAGCAGGAAGGCAGGGCATATGGTGGCATTTCCTTTGCTCCATACAAGATTTAGTGGGTAACAAAGTTCCTCCAGTTAGACCAGTAAACCGTAAAACGCAGGTGTTGGGCAAACTCTACGAACAACGTGAAAATGTAAACCAGCTCAGCTTACATGGCAGCTGCTTTCCAAAAACCTCAGTAGTAAATAGCAATAAAAATAGAACATTCAGTCTATAATGAAAAAATACTGAAACTAGAAAGGTTTCATTTACATCAATACTTGCAACATAAAACACACTAATACACACAAGTATGCCATAAATAAATGCACTAAAACTTCTGCACATCTTTCCCCTTTAACATCTCATCTGACAAATCTGCTTTGAGTTCAGGTATTTTGAAGTTTATAGGAGTCTCTGCCAATTCACCAACATAGCACGAAAACATTTGTTCTCTTATAGATATATGCTCCTCAGTGTATCTGTGTGTTAAATTTTTCACTGGCATAATTAACACAGAAATATTTTTGCTAATAAGCACTTCAGTTAAATTGAACTCAGGAGCCAAATAACGAGACTGAAGCTGTTCTGAAGACCTGACATTTTGGCAAGTGAGATGAAAAAGATGCCGGAGAGCAGCTGGAGGAGCTGACAGCGAGCGACTGGAGGAAGAAATTCGAGAAGCTGTTAGAAGAGTTGATTGGAGAGATTAAATTGCCAACAGCAGCAGCTGGAGATCTGAAAATTGGGGTGGAGGAAAAAAGGAACAAAAACTAAGAGTTTCAAGAGAAGGCTGGTTTTGACGACAACCGTGGGAGGTCAGAGGCCACCAAGAATTGGACTTACCACAACAGCTGGAGGAGGTCAGCAAAACCACTGCCTCTGTCCGCAAAGAAGTCTATCAATTGTCCATTTTAAATAATATCGTGATTTGAACATATTGTAAGTACTGCCTTTGACACTTGCTTTGAAACCTAGTTTTCATTTTCACTTATTTGCGTGACTGCCAGAATACACGGCAGCTGCTAGTTATGAATTAAGATGTCAGGCTCAATTTGTGAAAATAAATCCAATGTTTGGGTTTAAGGTATAATTTCATTTGCGAAAAGTTAAAGACCCAAAGTCAGACTGTATTTAATTTTTGTATTTGGTAACTATGACCCAGGCATCTGATTTCTCTGTGGGCTAGAACGTTTTTAAATAAATCAGCAAAGACATTTACCAAGTCCTTACAGGGGATTACAAATTAAATTGAAAAGTAGTCTGAACTCACAAAATCTCTGATAGTAGCTTTCCTGTCCATCTGGGGACCTGGAATAACAGTTAACCTAATGAGCTCTCCTGCAACCAGTACAGATTTAATTCTTAAAATATTTTTAATTTTCTGTATTCAAACGTGCTCATCACAGAAAATTTGGAACACAGAGAAAAGCCCCCAAAATGGAAATAAATTAAAGTCATTGACTCGCCACTTGGTGTTATAAGTTGTCACATAAATGAAGTCCGGTGACAGGGAATAGAACTTATCTCTGATTTTATAGCCTCAGGATAAACTTCTAGATGCAGATGGCTGGTTCAGAGGTATACACGCTTCAAAGCGCCCGATAAAAGATTACCCAAGTCACCCACTCTTGCGGATACAGTGTCCCCAGTAGCCTTCTCAAGTGAGGGCTGCTTGCTCTTCCACACACTTGACAGTGGGCTGGGGTCCTGCATGCTCCTCACTGCCATTTCCAGACCTTTATCCCTTCCTCCTCCCACAAACCCCTCAGCCTCTTTGCAGTTCATGTTATCAGACTCCAGCACCCACCTCCCTTCCTCGGTGTAGTCACCCTGTCTCCTAGACCGTCTGAGCCCTGGCTTCCTCTCTCGCTAACATAGCCCCCTGTCATAATCCTTTGGGATCTCAGCAGCCACTGGAGACAAACCTTCCAATCAAGGCTTCTCAGTTCCTTGATTCATCCTGTCCAACGATCATGTTCTCTGTCCTACTCCCATGACCAACCCATAGACCAACCCGTAGAATTCTGACCCATCTCAATTTCAATCTCCAGTCTTTATAGTTGTCTCTTTTTAATGCCCCAACTCTGATTCTTCTACCCCATCAGCACCTTGACCCACTGACCCTGCTGCCATCCCACCGTCCCTCATCCTTCGTTGTCCAATTCAGATATTACAGTCCATCCTTGGACTCATTCCTTTGATTCATGATCACTGACCTCCAGGGATCCCTTAGCACTACAACCTAAGCCGCATACCCCTGCCTGGCTCATTCAGTAGCTCATTCTTCTAAGAAACTGTTTCATGCTTTCTCTTTCTTCAGAACTCCACCTCCTCCCTCTGCACCCACAGCTGATAGCCTGTCTTCTACGTGTGAAATAAGATCAATTGGAAAAAGCTTCCACAGGCTCTGGCCCTTGCACTCCTCAACCTACCAGGATCTGCATCCACATGCTCTGCCATCTTTCATATCACTCTTGAGGGACCATCCTATTCCTAAATATGGCCAACACTTCCCTTGTGCACTAATTCCACATCTCTCACCTACTCAAGCACACGCACCCAGCCATATCTCCTCTCTAACTCCTGTATCATCAGTTTGTTCCCCTTTAGATAACAACAAATTTAACGGAATATCACTTTCTTTAAAAAAAGAATCCAACCTTGACCATGTATCCACCACTAGCTGCTGCCTCATTTGGGCAATTTAGAGCTAAATGCCTAGGAAGTGTTGCCTGTGCTGGATGTCTCCACTCCCACCCCTTTGGATCAACTCCTATCCATCTTCATACTCATCTTTCTATAGGAAGAATCTACTGTTAAGAGTACAAATGACTTCTATATTGTCAAATCCAAGAGTCAATTCTCAGCTCTCACTTTGCTTGACTGATCAGAAAAAATTAACTCGATTCAGTTGCATTATTGCTCAAATATTGCTCCTTGGCAGACTTAGAGCCATACTTTTTAAAGCTAAAAGGCCCTTAAGAAATTGGCCAATACAGTTGTGTCCCACTGTGTTCCATGGAACCCTACTAGTCCTCAGAGACGTCTCTGGGGACCAGTGGGAGAACATCAATGAGAAGCCAAAGGAAAGCTGAATTTGTGGATTTCAACCCACCCACATCCTCTTCAAACAAACAGTTCCTTTTTTCTCTGCTCTACACATTGGGGTTCCTCATAATATTCCACTTGGGGAAAAAGAGTTCTTGTGCTTCTTTTGACTTTTTATTTGAAATAATTTTAGATTTCTAGGAAAGTTGCAGAGAGAGTACAGACAGTTCTGTATACTCTTCACCCGGCTTCCCCTGGTGTTAACATCTCATATAACCATAGCACACTTGCAAAAACTAAAATCAACATTCCGACAATACTATTTAACTACAGACTTTATTTGGATTTCGCCAATTTTTCCACTAATGTCCATTTTCTGATTCAAGATAGCATCTTGCATTTAGTCATCATGTCTCCTAGTCTCCTCAAAACTGTGCCATTTTCTCAGTCTTTCCTTATTTTTCATGACCTTGACAATTTTGAAGAGTACTCGTTGGGTATTTTGTAGAATGTCTCTCAACTGGGGTATAGCTGATATTTTCTCATGAATGGACTGGAGTTATGGATTTTGGGGAGCAATACCAGAGGGATGAAATGTCCTTCTCACTGCATCATACCAAGAGGTATATTATATCAACATTACATTATCACTGGTGATATTAACCTTGATCACTCACGTAGGTGGTGCCAGTCAGATTTCTCCACTATAAAGTTTTCTTTCAAAGATTGAAAACCAATGATCTTGTCCTCACCTTTTATTTTACACATGAAAAAAATAAGACCCAGATAAGGGTTCAAATCAGTTGATGTGCACAGTCACACTGTGTATTAATATTAGTGGGACTAGAACCCCATCAGAAGAGAACTTGCAGAGGAGATGGCAAGTTTGGCTATTGGATCTTGAAGGTCCTTTCCTAGTCTAAATTTTGAGCATGTTATAAGTTATTTATTCTTCTTTTACTCATACTGATAAAAACATATCAGAATCTCATTTGAAAGGAATGATAACTTATTATGCTATAGGTATTATTCCTGTGAAATGTGCCAAGAAATTCAACAAAAGTACATGGTGAAAACAAATAAGAATGCACTCTTCGACGATTCAACGTTGGCAGATGTTTAACCTCAATATTTGTTTGGCACACAGTAACAGTAAAATGTCAACCAGAGGACCAGTCAAAGTCAAGTGAGCAGAGATGGCTGGAAATTAAAGTAGGGCATTGATGAAGGTGACCACAAGGAGACAGGGGCCCTCAGCCAAGCCAACAGACACAGGTTCCTCTGCACAACACGTTAAAACAGACATGCAGAACTCAGGGAAGTTTCAAAAGAACGGTGAAGAATGAAGAATGACCTTACATTTGTGTATGGTTTCAGAGTCATCAATATACCTTTAAATTACTCTTCTCGTTTAACATCACAACAGTGACATGTGCTATCAATTCTGCAGATGAGGGAAATAATGTTCACAGAGGCTGACTTGCCTTGGACTCCACAGATATCAAGGGGCTGGCACTGGACCCCAGAACTCTGTGTCTCCCATACTTTCCACTGCACACGTGGTTGAATTAAACTATTAGGGTTTATTTTAATGCTCAGTTCCTCTGATTAACATTTTGCTTCTCCTTCTCAGATATTT